TATCAGCAAAGATTCAAAAGACGATGAAGATTGGATGAATGTAAACTCCATACTCGTATCATAGATTTACAAAAAATCTTGACTCGATCCTTGCGAATTGTGAGATTGCAAAGGAAAGCTTGTATGTGACTTGAAGAGTGCCAAGCAGTTGATGACAGCAACGTTAATAGACACAGTGTCTGTGACAACAACATTTGACCTTTCGGTGTTTATACCTGGTCGGTGTTGCAGCCGATTATGACCACACGACCGGGTATAAAACGTTAATGGTTACCTTGCGGGGAGGTTCTGTAGCCGGTTATGACCCCATGATTGGGTATAAACATCGATGATTACCCTGCAGTGGGGTGTTAAACCCGATTAGGACCCTTCTACCGGGAATAAACGTAGATGATGACTCTGTGATGGGGTGTTATAGCCGATTACGACCTAAAGCAGCCATAAGAGTGAATGTGACGAATACATAAGCAACTACATGAGTAACTGTAACGGATAAAGAAGCAGTCACTCATGTGGCTGTGACGGATACAGAAGATACAAAAGCAGCCAAATGAGTGACTGTGACAGAAAATGTAGCAACCACATGAGTAACTCTGAGCATCGGTGACTGAGACAGAGCGAAACCCTGTTAAGTTAAACAATTGAATAATAGTTCTTCTCTTGTTCTCATACCTGATGACTAATATACATAGCCAAACGAGGTGACTGAATCAGAACCAAAGCAGAACCTTGTTATGTCAAATAGTTAAACAGTTGTTCTCTTGTTTTGATAGTTTAGTGACTGAGAAATAGTTAGACAGAGCCGGAAGAGGTGAGATAGAGCTTTGTGAAATACTTTTTTATGTTAAATAGTTAAATAGTTCTTCTCATGTTTATACCATTGGATGGTTTGTAAAGATTTTCATGGGAGCCTTAGGACGACGTGAATTTCACTATCATTTGTGACTTCATGCTCCAATTCGAGGAAGGGTATTAGGCCATATGAGATGTAAAAACAGAAAAGGGTTAAGCGAAAGTTAAAAATTTCTCCAAAAGGGATTCCAAGTTTACATTTGGATTCCATCTCATATCATATGTACATTTGTTTATTATTGCTGGGAGGATTTTGATTCTATTATTATTGTACAATAAAAATTATAGGGAGATTTACTAAAACAACCTTGAAAAATTGATTTTTGACCAAAATGATACTCATCTTTTAATATTACTCAAACAATTTTGAAAGATTTATTATACTTATTTTAGCTTTATTTCCTTTGAAGATAAAAACGTATTTACGAAATTGTCATTAATGAGGCAGCAAAATTTTTCCGCCAAAAGCGAATAAGTCTACCTTTCATGTGATGGTAGATTTATTTGCGATTGGTAGATTTATTAACTGGTTGGTAGATTTATTGATGGTTTGCGCAATCGTATACTTATTTATAGTAGTAGTAGATTTATAATATGTGGTAGACTTATTTGTAATAGTGGTAGAGTTAATTTTGTGACTTATTTCTAATAGTGGTAGAGTTAATTTTGAGACCGGTAGATTTATTGATGGTTCGCGCAATCGTAGACTTATTTATAGTAGTGGTAGATTTATTATGGAGTGATAGACTTATTACCAGTACGTAGTGGTAGAGTTAATTTTGTGATCGGTAGACTTATTGATGGTTCGCGCAGTCGTAGATTTATTTA